GTTTTAGAGTATCCATCAATTTTAGGGGTTGCTGGTGAAGCCATGAAGTCCTGATTTATGCTGGATGTGTAATTTTGCTGACCCCTGGGTATTGGCTTATACGTAATCTTCCCTGTTTGTTCCTGGATTCTGCAGTTCAGACTGGTATCGTCTCTTTACAGAGTCTGGGGAATTCTTCAGAAAGAGGGGGTCCAGTGGACTCAGCGTGTGAGTTAGTGTTTCAGCTCTACCTGTGGGAGGAAAGTCCTCAGTGCAGAAGTGTAAATGCAGGCGTAGGGGTGGGGGATGTTTGTGGAAGTGGGCCATGAGTGACAGAGTGTTGGAGATTGTTGAATCCTTGAGAGTGTGGGAGGGTTTCTGTCTTGCAGGCTTCTAAGGGGTTACTTGTGCATGCGCTGTAGTTGTAGCAGGACCTGGTGGTAGTCACAGCACAATTTCCTTATGCAAATTCCCTGAATACCTCAGTGGTCTACCCGCTTAACTCCACTGCTGTACCCGCAGAGCAGGGGCTTCGATGTCCCAAGAGTTCCTCTGTTTCCCACAGTGTGTGTTTGGGTGGGAGGAGTCCGATGACTAGCTGCTAGTTTAGAAGGACTCTGGATCTGGGGCTCTGAAGACACTCAAGGGCACACTTACTCTCAGGCAGGTCACACTGTCAAGGAACATGGTATCCAGGCTTTCTACTCTCTGGTTTGACCCTGCTTAGTCATATGCAGGAAGACTGATGTACTCTGCCAGCTCAGTGCTCCTGAAGCCACCTGTTTAGGAAGTCCAGCTGCAGCTGGGGACTTCCCAGATGCTTTCTGGGAAGTCCTAGGGGCCCTCCACTGTACTCTCCAGACCTGAGATTCCAGGTGCCTGGTGTGCCTAGCTTGTTTAGCGGGTTTGCTGGACTTTGGTGGCTATATAGTCTATTATCTGACACTGAGGGTTTGGGTAGACCATACAGTCAGTGGCTGGGAGACCCTGCAGAGTTGGTATGGCCTCTTGCAGACGTGGAATATGGGGTGGATGGTGCTGAGGATCTGGGACTTCAAGGCAGGTACAGCTGGCATTAGCGGCTGAGGGGCCAGGAGCAATGCCTCTGCCACCACAGTCACCAGGCAGTGAGCTTTGAGTTGAGAATCTCAGTGAGCCGGCTGTGCTGAGGAAGAGGGAGGCCCGAAAAAGGGGAGTGCAGGGAGACCAAATAATCATTTCTCTCCTTCCCCAAACTAGTCCGCGGGTGACACAAGACCAACGTTCTCACCTCCTGGGATGTTCCCTCTTGTTTAGAAATTCTCACTATCATTTCCCTGGCTTTAGTCTTCCTTCTACTCACCAACTCCAGTGCTTCAGCTCCTCTGCAACTCAGAAACTGTGCGCGATTGTCACCATCATGGATCCGCCTCCTATATGTACATTCTTGAGACAAAGTCTTGTCAGGCTAGCCTTGGACGCCCAAGGGCTGGGGTTACAGACATGTAGCACCATGCCTGGTTCTAAACACAGACACAAATTTCTTATTTGGAACTTTGTAGCTCAAAGCTATACTCTATTTATAGTCTCAGGAGTCTGGGATCCAACATTCAGTGTGTAGACAACAGGCAAGAACCTTTCAGTGTTTGCATACAAAGTTAAGTGGAACTCCCTATAACTATATGAAACAACATGGGAGGCAGGGGAAGAAAACCTAGACAGAATAAAATGTTCTTGGATACTAAGACCCCAGTAGAAACATAAATGATATTTTATCTTACTAATGAAAAAAAAAAAAAACTAATTACACTTTTAAGGGTAATATTACCCTTAGAACAGTTAATACTGTACATGTTGACTAAGCCTTAATAACTGACAACAGTGTACCAATAAAAATCAGTACTAGTAACAGCATTCATGATGATAAAATGGCAAACATTAACAAATTACTTGATATACCTTTTCAGAGATGAACTCATCTGCTCTTCACAATAAACAAGGAGATTTATTCTACCCATTTTACAGATGAAAAACTGAGGCACAGAGCCGTGAAGTATTCTGTCTGAGGTCAAGCAGCTAGTAAGCGGCAGTTTCAGGTTTCAAATCCAGGTAAGTCTGGCTCTATGACTCTTCCCCCTTCCCAGCGTGTTTAAGTGTCTCTAGATACAGAGGATCAGCAGGAAAGACCAGTCTGTCCCTTAAACAAATCCAGTGATTACCTTTCAGACTCAAAATACAAAGAAATTAATAATGCACTGAATTCCAACAAATAATTTCTAAGTTTCAATTCTATTACTTCCTCGGAGTTTAATTACAGATCTCATTTAATCCTCAGAATCACTCTGTGAGGGCACTGCAGTGTTTAAAACAAAGACAAATTGTAAGAACTGGGTTAATCATTTCACTGTATTACTAACATCATTGAGTATTCTTAGAAATGCCATGATGGTCCGGCCTCTCTAGGCAATGTGGGATAGCCTATGCCTCCTCAGCTATAAATCTGAAAGGCATATTACTATATTACATGCTATAAGAAACCATATTATGGGGCTGGATAAATGGCTCAGCAGTTAAGGGCTCTAGCTGCTCTTACCGAACACTTGGGCTCAATTCCCAGCACCCACATGGTGCCTCACAGATCCAGGGGTCCCAATACTCTATCTGGCCTCTCTTGAAAATGCACACATGTGGTACACAAGTATACATACATATAGCCAATACACCCATACATTAATATGAAAATGTATCTTTTTCTAAAATAAGAAATCAAAATATGCAAGGGTATGTATGTGTTTATATACTTTGACACAGAGATTACAAAAAATAATTCCATGTGATTTTGTGATGTTTTTCTGCTCTACAAGACAACTCACACTTTGTACAGTTTGTCACTGATAGAAATGTCATTATGTGGTATGTTATAATCAACCACTTTACCTATGAACATACTGACTCTAATATTCAAGAAAAATATCTTACTACTAAGGATACATACATGCAAGTCTCCTGTCCACCATATGGGACAGTGCACCAAAAAGCCTTAGGTAAAGCAGTGCAATTGACTGTAGGAAAGAATAGAGGTGGCACCTGTTGGGTAGTAAAATTATCTTATCTTTATAATTTAAACACAGGCTTGGCAGGCTGACAAGCTGGCTGGATGGCAGATGAAGAGAAAAAAAAAAAGAAACTGTTGGAGCAGAATGGAGACAGGTAAAAGACTGACTTTTTTTCCTCTCAAGAAGCACAGTGTATGTGTATGGCTTTGGGAATGACCAGAATCTTTACACATTGAAACAAAATTAGAGGATATTATTGGAGAGCTTCAGAGTTCATCACTGAAAATGACCCACAAGACAGTGTCAATTGGAAGACAAGGTCAAGTACAAGCTTTAAGGTACTGTCTTCTTAAAAGTGCAGAAAGAATTTTGCTAGAGCTGTGGATTTAATAAGAATAAAGAATTCAAATGGGCTAGAAAAGCTTTTGGCCAAGCCAAGTATGGATCATGGCACCATTAATAATTTCTGAAATTATGGTTATTTTCTGTGAAACCATATGTTATAACTATGTTTTCTACAGTAATGTCCTGATAGACATGGAATGGAAGAGGTCTTCTGTTTTAGATTCCTAACTGAGCTTTTAACAGCCTGCCTTATCTGGACATATCTGAATTGCTTCCTGGGGTATAATGAATAAAACCAGGTTAAAGTACTGCAAACTGTACAGTTCCATATGAAAATGGTAAAGTAGGGTTAATGCTTTAGTTAGATTTGTGCATTGGATGCTATATAATGTAGGTTCATAATAGGTGAAATCTAAATGTTCTTAGACTTTATCACAGTTGAGACTTGTTCTCTATGTATCTGAAAGTTTTAGAAAAATAGTGGCCTGAGAAGTCATTAAATATAGTAACTAGTTTGTTTAATGAACAAAATTTTAATAAAAATGTTTAGCTCTCTTAATTGACCCTTGTTTTAATAATCTTTTCAAAAAAACAAGTGTTTTGTTTTATATTTTTATAATGGAATAAAAGTTTTTTGTTAGTACTTTCATGTTGGAAAGATTTTTGATTAAAAACCTTTGGTTAACATTTAGTGGAACTCATCTTCTTCAATGTCATTAAGCCTTTTAGAAATAAATGTTTTCAGTAGCAAGAATGATAATACAAGTATTTGGGATAGTGTTTTATTGACATAATGTTAAGTACTTTCGTTGTGGAAATGAATACTTAAATAAAATAATATGTGACTATACAAACCACTCCTGTAGTTCAAGATATGCAGGCTATGTGTATATTTAGGTTAATGCATTAAATTATTATGGAACTCATCTTTAATAAGAATTAAAATTGCACTTAGAGATGTCAATATTTGTTGGACTTGTTGGTACATCTTAACATCTCCAAGACAGTATCTGTAGAAATACTATTTGTTTACTCTACTGATACAAAAATAAAGTGTGATGAATTAAACAACAACAAAGATAAAATAAAGTACACAGAGTGAAGTGTACATGTGGGAAACAGAATAAAAACGATGAAAAGAAAGAAAACTGAGGAGGATTAGAGAAAGAGTTACAGAAGTTATGGCAAAAATCCAGTAAGGATAATCTGAATTAAGAGAACACCAAGTTTCATAGTTTGAGAAGTAAGTAAGCTGAAAAGGGGTCATGAAATAAAATAAACTTGAAAAAAAAAAGAAAAAGAAAAGAAAGAAAAAATAGTTAGAAATGAGCCAAGAGAGACAGGAAGCCAGCTAGGCTTGACAGAATAGCTAAATCACACTAAAATCCATACTTCATTAAATACATGATTATTTTCTCAATATTGTCAATGGTTTTAGCGACAACTCATTTTGAATAACGACACCGATTCTGAAGCTCTGTTTATAGTCTCAGTTTCTTAAGAGACTTCCTGGTACTAGTATCAGATGAATCTGTATTTTCATAGATTGTACCTACAAAATTAAAAGTGGAAACTATCTAGATTTAAAAAACCTCAAAATAATATAAGGAAGACTAAAAGTGTAAAATAATTGTATCTCACCAGAAATACTGCTTTTACCTGAAGCTAAACTGTGGACACTCATTCCGTGGCTGGAACTCATGCTTGGACTACTAAAAGGCCTAGGACTGACAGGATAACTGTCTTGAGATTTTGGACGTTGGCTTTCCAAAAACCGTACTTCGCTATCTGTACCATTCACCATTTCTATAAACTGACGTACTCTGAAAGAAAAAAAGAAGGGTTACTTAGGTACAGTCATCCAATCTGTACATAGCTATATTAAAGTTAAAATTAGCTTAATTTATAAATTAAAATTGGTATTTTACTTGCTATCTTACCAAGTAGGTGAGATTTTAGAAACACACGTACCTGGAGAGGAACACAGCACAATTGTTTTTATTTTTTAATTTTTATTTTTTATATTATTTACAGTTTATTCACTTAGTATCCCAGCTGTAGCTCACTCTTTCATCTGCTTCCAATCCTAACCTCCCTCCCTCATATACTCCTATGCCCTTCACCAAGTCCACGAATAGGGGGGTCCTCCTCTCCTTCCATCTGACCTTAACTTATCAGGTCTCATCAGAACTGCCTGCATTGTCCTCCTCTGTGGCCTGGCAAGGCTGCTCCTCCATCACAGGGAGGCAGTCAAAGAGCTATCTACTGAGTTCATGTCAGAGACAGTCCCTGTCTCCCTTACTAAGGTACCCACGTTTATACTGAGCTGCCATGGGCTACATCTGGGCAGGAGTTCTAGGTTATATCCATGAATGGTCCTTGGTTGGAGTATCAGTCTCAGAAGAGCTTTATTTGTAATAGCCAGAACCTGGAAACAACCCAGATGTCCCTCAACGGAGGAATAGATAGAGAAATTGTGGTGCATTTATACACTTTGGAATACTACTCAGCAATTAAAAACAAGGAAATCATGAAATCTTCAGGGAAATGGTGGGGACTAGTAAAGATCATCCTGAGTGAGGTATCCCAGAAGCAGAAAGACACACATGGTTTATACTCACTTATAAATGGCTATTAGACCTGTCATATAGGATAAACCTACAAAATTCTGTACATTTAAAGAAGTTAAGCTAGAAGTAGGACCCTGGGTAAGATGATCAATCCTCACTCAGAAAGGCAAACAGGAAGGACATTGGAAGAAGGAGATAATAGGAAACAGAATAGGAGCCTGACACAAAGGACCTCTGAAAGACTCTGCCCAGCAATGTATCAAAGCAGATACTGAGACTCAAACAGACTTTGGGCAGAGTGCAGGAAATCTTAGGAAAGAAGGGGGAGATAGCAAGATATGAAGAGGACAGGAGCTCCACAGGAAGAGCAACAAAACCAAAATGTCTGGGCACAGGGTTCTTTTCTGAGACTGATATTTCAAAGCAAAATCGTATACCAGTCTTTCCATCCCAGGTTGAATTACTAAGCTCTTAGCCAAAGTGAGCCTCAGTTGGTTTTTGGTGTTAGGCAAAATGATTGATATTTGATGTGCAAAGACTTACTTAGGCTTAGAAGATTGAGATCCTAAGCTCAGCAACATCTGACTTTCTCTCTCTCTCTCTCTCTCTCTCTCTCTCTCTCTTTCTCTCTTGGGTCTCACTCTACAGCCGTGGCAGGCCTCAAAATTGTTATGTACAGACAAGATTGGCCTTCAAGTCTCAGGGATCCACTAAGTTTTATGACAGCTCGATTAAAGGTATTCATAAAAATAAGATCCAGTTTTTAAGTGCCTAATCAGGATGTCTATATCCTAAAGCAGAAAATAAGTGTTGACAATGATGTGAAAATACTGGAAACCTTATACTGTGCTAGAAGTAAAGAAGGATGCACCAAGGAGGATGCAATGAGTCCTCACAATGGTAAGCACAGCAATAAGCCAACAACTCCACTTTTAGGTAAATAATGGAAGAATTGAAAGGCAGGACTTAAGCACACACTCACTCAGCTTTGTTCACAGCAGAATTATTCACAATAGCAGAGAGACAGGGCAACCCCAGCACCCACCATCAGACTGAAAAACAAATGGCAGGCAGTGCAGCCACATGATAGGATCATCTTTAGCCTTCAAAATTAAGGAGAACTCCAGGAGGTGCTACAATATAGGTGACGGTTAGGGATATTACACTAAGTGACACACAGTAAGAGGGCTCTGAGGAAGTGAGCAAAGGAGAAGCTAGTGTTTAGTGGGCAGGCTAAGAAGATGAATATACTCCAGTGATACACAAAAACACTAAGTGTACTTGATAAGAACACAAGTAAGAATGGGTAAAACAGTACATTTTACGTATATTTTACTATAACTCTTCCATAGGTCCACAGGAGTTACTGAAAGTACCTTTTAGGAGAAAGTTGAGATTACTGTCTTCTAAGTATGGCATTCACACATTAAGAGAGATGATATGATAAAAGCCAACAAAAGTATCATGTGATTAGAGACCTTAAGATGAAGTTCCTTATGCTTTTTTTTTCACACATCCTAAGCATCTGCTCTGCCACTGAGGTACATATCCTCATCTCCACGTGTTTTTAAAAACTTAAATGTGCTGTAATATAAAATTATGTATAAATATCTGAAACAAGGAAAAACAAAAATCAAAACTACAAATAATGAAGATAATTTTAATTACTTAAAATAACATTTTACTAAAACTCACTTTAATGTGAACAGGAGATTGGGATTTCTTTCAAATAAACTTGGGTATAACAGTTCTGTTATTTCTATGGCTTCTCCCATTCGTCCTGCTAACACCAACTCCTGAATTCCTAGTTAGAAAAGAAAGCAAAAATATTACCTCTATAAGAGCAGAGGCAACCTTCAATCACCCCAGAAAATAATTGAAACCCTCTGAAATAATTAAACTCTCTTTTTCCAAAAAGTTTAAGTTTAGATTAGAAAATACAAGGAAAATATCAGATATGTTAAAAATTAGAAAACATAACTATTTTCAAAGACTGCTTTAATATTTCATGAATAAATATGTAAGAATTATAGGGAAAACATCTACTGAACGGTATATTTTCAAACAGTAATACTTAAAAGACGGATATAAAGGAATAACACTTAAAATGTCTTTAGGACCTTCTGTCTTGGGACTAGAAAATGTCAGAGCTTTCTTAAAGTAACATCTTTGTGTAAGTGACCTCCTCTGTGTGATGGTGTATGAAGTAAGTGAGAAAGACCACTATACCATGTACTATAGCATGGTGCAATTGGCATTACTTTAGCCATCTTAACTAGCAGAAGATTCTCTCAGCCATCATGGTCTTACTTGTAAACTGTTTCCATTTTTCTACTCAGGAAATACCCATTATATGTGGTCTTCCAAGATGAGCTAACAACAGTGACTTTAGAATGTCTAACTTACAGAGGTTGGCATTCTGCCTTGCCCTGATGAAAACAGTAGCAGCTGTTTTCACTGTCCAGCACAGTGCCTTAAGCAATAAATACTTATGACCAACATGCCGCCTTCAATTTAGGCGGTAATTAGAAGATATTAAATTCCTTTCAAAGAAAAAATATTTCATATGCTATCTCCACTATCTCACCAAACAACAAAGGAAACTTTCTTTGAATTGAACACTTTTTATTTCTTAAAACTGAAGGTTTTCCTGCACCATCCTCCACCCACCAGGTGCTAACACCAAATCAGAGAGTTGGGCTCATCAAGGAACTTCATCCCAACAAACAAGACAGCAATTTTTCCAATGGAAATGTGATAGAGATATTTCTTTTTTAAGGTCAACAAATTTTTTTCTACATTAAAAACTCTGGTGTGAATTTTTAAAACAAATTTTCAAAACTGTTAGAGTGTACAATGGCTCAAGATGAGTCTGAGCTACAGGAGACCTTGAATCAGACACAAGATCCCCCACACCCACCACAAGCCAAAAAATACTCACAAAAACCAACTACTGAAAGTAGTTTGGAGGCATCCACTTTAAAACAATATGTTGGACAAAATTTTAATAAAAATATAAGTTTTGTAAAAGCTAAAGCAAGCAAACTTATTATTTAAAAAAAGTATTTGCCATGTACCACAGTGTTCTTACTTTGTCTATTCTTAATGGAATCAAATTCTTCTAGAACAGTCTGGTGTGTAGATCTGGCAAATGCCTCTGCTGTGGCACAGTACCCGTGCTGGACTAAATAAGATGAAACCAGTCTTAAGAGAAATCAAAGAAACACATCTTTTAGTCAGGAGAATACACGCTTCAGGCTACAATCTCTGTTAACAAGTCTAATCTGATATTACAAAATAAATTTATTTCTTTGAAACCAGGCTCTTTGACCTTCAATTTTATTTTTTTTTAGCTTCCTTCTTTTAATTTTTACTGTACTTAAATAAATATTATGTGCCAAATAAGTTCTAAAAATCTCTAGAGAAATATCTATAGATCCTTTTAAATATATTTTACTTCTAATGAACTTGATTTTTATTAAGTCCTGAACATAATGTTATCAGCTATGCATTTTTGTTTTATTAGAGTATAATAACTATACATAATGACTGACATTTTCTTTGAATTTTATTTTTTTCTTATCAGTTACATTTTATTAACTCTGTATCCCAGCCATGTCCCGATCCCTCATTCCCTCCCAGTCCCTCCCTCCTTCCCTCATCTCCACCGTGCCCCTTGCCAAGTCCTTGAAAGTAACATTTTTTTTCTAGTTATGAGTAGTCCAAAAGACAATTTAAAATAAGAACAAAGGCATCAAAATCATCTTTTTTAATTTAATTCTTGGATCATTATTAAACCCTTGTTCTTTATTCAAAGTCTTATTTTTCAATATCACTAACCATAATTTAGACCTCACCTTAATTATAGTTGAACGAATAACATGTTAGCCCTACGTAAACCAGTTATTTTGAGATAACTGATTAATAATAGAGTTCCAACTACTTTCTGAGCTCAGCAGTCAAATGAGATGAGATCTTAAAGTATGAACAGAGACAGTGAGGTGAGCCCAGAAAAAAAAATTCCAGGAACAAAATGCACATGGGAACAATTAAACAATGCAATCAATTTTGTGGTTTTAAACAGGAAATACATTTTGTAACACTTGCAGACAGTGATATATCTAGGACGCAAGCTTTCTTTGAAAAGCCACTAAGCGTCTAAGATATAGTTAGCAAAACTGGTATTCCAACAATAGTAATCAAAACTCAGCTATCTCCAACCATTATCTTCTCTAAGCAATACCCAAAAAGGTTTTCTTAAAAACTTAAGCTGAAGAATCTTTAAAGCAAAAATACATTTTCAAGACCATTGCACACTGATGATATATTTGAAGGTCTTGGATATTTTCTTGGTCTAGATTATAAAATCAGAATCATTTTTATGATGTTATACATACATATAAATATATATGTATGTATATATTACATATATATATGTATGTATGTATGTATATATTACCTACATCAATCTTTTACCCATATCATTTAATACTAGTGATATCCAGGCACTGTCTTTTAGACTTTTGACATAAATATTGTCTAAAGAGGTTGAATGTCATAGGAATTCAAATTTCTTGCTGTTCCTTATGAAATTCTATAAAACAAAGCAAACATATAAA